TACACTCATTTGCAAATCAATTTGTTTTTCACGAGAGACTCAACTGAATCTCTCGTTTATGATATTCTACAACTGAATGTGCTGCACACAGACCGCCTCATGATTCAGTTGGCACGATATTGGAGATATCGTTGATGGAAATTCAGCGACTGCGTCAACCTGATGAGACCAAAGTGGATGGGCGAACCCGGTCGTGGGCTGTCGAAGAGTTTTCAGCAACCTTGTGAGTAGTTTCCTTCCGTCTTTTCGTGTTGGCTCTAAGGCGAAACCAATCTCACAAATCCCCCGTGTAAATAGACACGGAGGAAATAGCCTTCTTTGACAGCGGAAAAGCGAGGATAAATCAGCCAAAGAATTAAAAGTGTGGTTTATGTTTTCTGTGCGGTTCCGTTGAACTGAGTCTCGAGCAGATTAGTGAAGAATTCATCATGGATTGCGATGATCAGAAAAACTACTAGATTGCTTGTTGAGGTGTATTCAAACGAGCAAACAGTTGTCGTAGCTTCTGCATCAGATATCAGGAGGAATTTAAAAGAGATGGAGGGTTTCCCTCAGCCGACATTCTAATAAAATTTGCACAGGACATGTTCAACTGGGAGCCGGGTGTCGTCTGAAGGACTCAAACAAGCACGGCGTTCAGTGTTATGAGCGCCGACCAACCTTATGTATGTTGATACTTTTCTATCTGATGGCACCTTTGTCTAACAGGGGCATTGTTGAATTATGCGTGTGTGGATCAGGGGTGGGGTGGGGCAGCATAAATAAGCCTTTAACAAGTCTCCCACGGCTACTTGTCTTAATACTTTGGTGCGGTTGGTATTTCGCATACTTGATTCCTGGCATGTTTACAGGTGCACAGGCCACCTCGTAGGTTACAGCCACTTTTTCTTACAGTGTGTAAACTTCAATGCACCAGTGAGCAAGTCGTCAATCGTTTTACTCTGTTATAATGGCGAAATATTCACGCCTTTCTCGTTAAGCGTTTATTTGGAATTTCTTACTGCCCTAATCCTAATGCGTACGTCTATCCCGGGGCGGTTTGTCTGTCCGAAAGTTGAAATAGATGTCTGTTTCATCCCACCGATTAGTTCGTAAATAATGCACCTTAGATGCAATGTCCAGTATTTCCAGTCATGAGAAAATATACTTTATATACCCTGTCTAACCCAAGTGCATCGCAATCGGTAGAAGGACCTTTTGGTTGACGCTAACGCAACAAGTGTGCGTGTTATTTGGCAGCACTAGTGCTTGCAACCCGTAAGTTTTTATAGCTTGTATCAGGACAGTAACAGGTGGTTGTAAAAACTGTGTTACAAATAAATCGATAAAGATGTTCTATGATTCGTTCTTCAGGTTCGAATAAGACTGCTTCTACTTACTTGCCACGTTAACTGCGATATCCGGTGCCATACTTCTCCTCTTGTTAACTGCCTCACAGGTGTACAACCCACTAGCTTGTGGTTCCAGGTTGGTCAGTGTGAGTTGGCTGATAACCTTGTTGCAGTCAACCACAGTCGTATTCAGCACGTAAGTAACATCATCGCGAAGACCACCCCAGTTGAAGCGCCAGTTTATAGCAGGAGGGGGACGGCCATAGACGGCACACGTCAAAGTCAGATTCTTTGACTGTATCCCAAAGAGATGTGTTTCACCCGATGGCTCAATAATCACAGGATCGCCTTTGAAAAGAGCGAGATATGATTGCAGCAATATGATGACAAAAACAATAAATGGATCCCATTTAAGTGAAAATCCACTATAACGTACAACGCACCAAGATGTTTGAAATCCGTTGACGTTAAATTCATATGGCGGGGAGATTTTAATTGCAAGCATGATAGGTCATTGACGACCGTAAATGATATACTCTTGGATGCACTGACATTCTGATGTGTGAAATAGCAGAAGAAACAATGTCCGGATAAAGTCATGGTGGGGCTCGAGCTTACCGCCACTATGGACAGTAACTAGGCTCAACTTAGAGCCCTAAATCATGACAAGTCATTTTAGTAAGCCTTTGCATCGTTTGCCGTTGCTGAAATTGCACATTTCAGCCTATTCTGGTCATGTAGCTCTGCGGCACTAACACATGTAACTTGGTTTTACTTTACCGATCGGTCGACTACTCGTGAACAGTGGCGTATCCAGGATTTCTTCTATCTTTTTTTACGGATGAGGATGTTACTGTCTTATTGTACGTGGGCTCACACCCCAACCATACGTACCAGAGTAGGATAGACAACATTTCAACTAGCCCGACGGCACCATTCTATCTTCTTCGTGCCAGACATGAAGGAAGAATTTTCACTGAAACCCCAATATCACGAATAAACCTCTGTGTGGCCTAGTCCCAACCAGTCACGAAGAGACTATACCTTACCAAGGTGTGACGAACTGTGTCTCCTTAACTCACTGATCTAACCTGTTCCTGCCGAACCTCTCCTACCAGGATGGATAATTTTTATTGGTTTGACCGCACAATCTCATGGTCATTTGGGATGAGGTTTGGGACGTGTTTGGAGGTTTGTTCCTTGAAAGGTGTAATGCATTAGCATTTGCGGTCAAATATCGTTGTTCTTCGACTAGGCTTTTGAGTCAAAGACTTGGATTGAAGGCTTCAGTCTTTCTGATGTTTAAGTCTGAGTGCACTGAGCACCCGGAGTACAAACATAACTCCAACAGCCGAGAATAGTCTCATGTAACATCGGCCAGAGCAGTGTCATCAGCTGGGTCATCATACTTGTAGTATATAGTAGAGCAAGTGGGTGGAATCAAGCTACCACTAGCGCTTTCATTTTTATCTTTCACACAGTCATCCATCATTCCTATAGCCTAAGGGTAATCACCTTTTAAGTCCATTCATCAGAATTAAACAACCTCTTCGACCTTCGCTGCGTCATCTGCACGTTAGTCAACCTAACAGCCTTCGTTACTTCGAAAATAACCTTCAAACTGTAAGGCCTATTTTATCCGACAGATTTTTTCCGTTCGCATTCAGAACAGATCGGAACAACAAGGTGCTCTTCATTACGTACTAGACTGACTTGGAACCGATGCACAACGCACATAGAAAACAAGAATTCCAGTTGCAAGTACAGTAAATGAGTTAAATGCTCTTTCCTTCTCCTCTTGGTTTAGGCTGCACGCCTCTCGCGATCCAGAGAGTTCAGTGGCACCCTATGAATAGGTCGGTATTGTTCCAATTCACCGGGAGGACGAGTACTTGATTGACTAAATACTCATCGACGGTAGCTCTTTGTGCTTCACTTCTTAGACTCCTGGAAGAAATCGCAATCTTTGATGGTTGTACTTTCATCGTGACTTCTTACCTTCCAGTTGAATGTAGTTCGTCCACCACCAACAAATTTTCATGACGCCCTGGGTTTTCTGTTACGTTGATCCAGAGATCACATATAGTTGTAGCTGCTGGGGGTCCATGCGCACAAATGTATACAATTGGCGTAGCTGAGACTCAGGCGCGCATCGGACAACGTTACAGTACTATGTGCTGACTCGGATTAACTAAATCTTCTGACTTCATGCGACTACCCAAAAACAGCATGCTAGCCATAGACGCAGAATGATCACTTCAGCTCCGATCATCTAAACCATGAATCAGCGATTGATCATTCCTCTTTTTGGTATACTTGTGCAAAGAATGGTCGGGACACTTCAAGAACCGCTTCGCATTTCGAGGCGGCACAATTAGTCTAACAGAGGAACAGCTTAGTAGTTGTAAACATGACCTTCGTGGTTGTGAACTTGGGGGTAATCATTTATATCAGATTAGTGAAATAACTGAATCTGCTAGCCAAGTTCCAGCTTATATATTAAACTTTCCTCTTTACATTCAGTAAAAATGCTAATGTAGCTTACTGTTGTCCTGCTTCTATTTCCATGCTCTCAACAAAACAGTTAGACAAATAATATCAATATACTTTAGTGCTTTTCATTCTTATTTAGACCAGACCATCATTTTAGCACTCACTGCACTCCTGTTCATCCGCACCATCGGCCTCGCAGTCAGCAACTCCGTCACAAACAAACGATCGTGATATTAGTTTACTGTGTCCTGAACAAGTAAAATGAGTCCCGTTGCACTTGTCGTATTCCGAAGGTACTGGAATGTCAATAAAATAATAAAATATTCAACTTACAAGTTTAAGATAACAAACTAAAAGACAAACGTTTAAATGATTTACTTACAGGCAAGCAACTAAACAATACGATGAAAGCTTGTCCAAAAAATTACGAATTAACAGCGTTCTACATGCAACCGTTAGAACAATGAATACATTTGTTTGCACAAATTTTCTCTGTTGACCGTCTCGGTCTTTTTTCTGCTAACTAACGCATAATGGGAAGAGAAGAAATTATGCTGGAGGAGATGTAACGGTGACAAAAGATCTATTCACTTCGATTTGGACGTGTTGCATATTTAGTATGATCCTCGCATTCAGTCGTTTTATTCCAGTCTGTGAACTTCACTCAGTTATGGCAATTTTGCTTCAGTCAGAAAATTAGACATTTTTATCAACTGCTCCAAGCCCTGACCCGGGATAATATACTATACTGGTTTTCCGTCTGCGCACCAACAAAGTTAATAACGGTCACCTGCATGCTCGATTCCCATGTTTTTCTTTTTCGAAATCAGCGTTTTATTTTCCATTTTCAACCACGTTTATCCCGCAGAGCCTTGGTTCAATGTTGAAATGAGCAAATTTCTTCAGGGCTTTCATGGGTTCTAGGAACGGATCAGGTCCAGACGTCTAAATGTGAATGGCGTGTTTTTTCAAATCTGAACGACGGGGGCCAATCCACGTCCCACAGTCGAGCCCAGTCAAAGTTTTGATGCTGGAACGCACATTGTATAAAACTTTGGTCATACAAAGCCTTGAGTTTGATTGGGGAACGATATATTTCGGTGTTTGAAGCACCAAACGCACAAGATGTTTAGCCTATTGAATCGTTTATTGGAACGGAGTGGGTGCTTACTGATTTCGGTCGCCTCCTTAACTATGGACTAATCGGATAATAACTACTGTATCCCATGGTGCTTTATCGTTGTAGACTGCTGCTTTTGTGTGCTATTCTAGAAGAAGTAGGTATTCAAGAAGAGACCTACAATTTTGGAAACATTTAGGCCACACTGAACACAGGAGTAACTTACATGGACAACTGGCTTCGTCAAAGTTGTTCCCACAATCATCGTCACCATCGCAGTGCCAGTATTGCAAGTAACATTTCCGCAGTGGCTTTTTCCCATCCAGCATTCTGCAAACATATTCATTGGGTGAACATTCGTCTGAAAATGCAAACAACAGTAAATGGAGGAATTAACGTTACTCACTTTATGGTCTCGATGGGCTTGAAATCACTGAAACGCTTACCGCATTTACTGAGTAGCTCATCCGAACCATCTTCACAATCTTGCTTGCCATCACAAAATTTCCAAGACTCCACACAACCACGTGAGTTGCACGCACGATAACCTGGTGGACAGTCATCGCGTACGAATATACGAGCCGTTACACTGTTCACCTGTAGTGTAATAAATTCAGTGGGATAAAACAGACGCTAAAGTGCAGCTTCATTATGTATATCTGAATTGGTAAGAAATGCATTGTGGACTTTAGTTCACTGATTTGCACAGATCACCATAGGATTGGTATCTTTTTTGTTGTGTTATTTTGCCCTATCCACGGCGTTACTCCATCGAATTCCGTTTGGATGAGGATTAATCTGTTCCTCGTGACCGTCACTGTCACTATCTATACCATTTTTCAGATGGATGATAAGTCTAGTGGTTTGAATAATCTGGCTGGCAGATGATTCCAACTGGATTGAAATTCTTTGTTCTGGAAATCGCTTTCTGAATTAAACGTAATTTGGCCGGACCTCACAGTCGATAGTTCTATCCTTGGTAAGCTGGAGGAAATTTTGTGGACGTAATACACTGCTCGTTAGGTCGTTAAAAAGACTACGGCAGCTCACGACAGGTTCCAACCTTCTTTAGGCTCATCAGGTGGTCTCATCTTCCGTCAACCTTCTGTTCTACTTGAACCCAAATTGCACGAAATTGGGCTTATACTAATTTGAACAGTGATTTGAACTTGATGGGATGCTTCTCAGCTGAAACAACTTAGGTCACAGGTATCCATGCGAACTTATCTTGTTCATTGGAGGATTTAGTGTGCGGTCCTCTCGAACCGGGTTTGGCTATAATAATTTGGTGCACTTGAGATTCCGCGATTCTGGCATACTCTTAATCAGGGCTGATATTTAACTCGTAGATTCATCATTTGAAACCAGAAAGTAGATGACCATGAGTTTGCTAATTCATTGGCTGTGTAAATACGAACGGATGTTTATATTATTTGGCAACGTGTGTAGGTCGCGGATCCTGCAGCCATCCAGGACCACAATAGAGAGAGTTTAGCAGTATGAACTAACACCTATGTTTGCTACTTAGGTTTCCCGGCCTAGAAACCCATAATCCAGAGTCGACAATAGTTCAAATAAGTCAGATCGACAACGTGGTTACAAATTCTAGTCTGTAAGGCTAAAGGGGCACGAATTTTGGAAATATCCAAAAAAGCTTACGATATTACCTTTCTGGTGGTCGGCTGTCGGTTGCTTCCCAATACCCGTAACAGTGAGAATTCAGAAAAATCAAGTACACAGTTGAATCGGAAAGCTGGTCAGAAGTAAAACCAGATCTTTTAGACTTGTACTCATTGTGTCTGTTATGGTTGAGAAAGGATCGACTCTATGAATGATCTTGGTGAATGCCACAACTCCGGAAGTCGGTCAAGAAAATGCTTTGGTTCACTCCTGGGAGCCCTCATTTGTTTATGTAAAATCACTGCACTTTTATTAGTGTACATTCCTGGGGGCCGTTTCGAACTCGTCTGATTGTGATTGGTCCGGCTGCTGATTGGTTCGTTGGTTACCTGTGTCAGACAGCTGTTGTCTGTTTGCAGTGTCCCGATTATCGTTTGCGCTGCTGACACACAACTGAAACTTGCTGATTTCATGACCTTGGTCTTCGTTGACCTTTGGATCCGAATTGTGAAATACTGAGATTATTGGACGGCAGGCTTTGAACTGGATTCGAACATTGATTGACTGATCATGTTGCCTTGTAACCTGCTGCAGCCCCTGCATCGCCCCCTTCCTCAAGGTGACATACCTTCGATGACTGTTCTGATGCACAATGACCGTAAGAATTTCGTTCATTTTCGCCAAAAATCAGATGTCGTTATCAAACGTGCTACGGCCTTTATGCGGTGTCAGTGAAAGTTAGTTTAGACTGAGTGACTGACCCTCGTTACTCGAATACATATTTTGAACTGGGGTCAAATTACAGGGCACCGATTTGGTGCACAGTTTGCAAACGTCATTCGTTTGGAAAACCTTTGCACGGATTGACTCACTCCATCACTGCATTCGTACGTTGTATTGTTGTCCTCCCAGCTTAAAGATTTCACAATCAACAGCGTGCGACCTCCGGTTGAGCCAATAACTTCCTCTTTCCCCGGTCTCAAGTCTCGTCTGTCTGTCCGCATCCAAAAGAGCTTGCCGCCATCTAATCCCTGAACTACGGATAGTTCACACAGAAATCGTGCGCTGGTGCCGGGTCTAGCGTCCACTTGTTCTGGATTGACCGACAGAGCTGGGATGGTTAAAACAATGAAATCATATGTTCCCAAACTTGAATACGATTATAGCAAAGCAAACAGCAAATCAGTAGATAGTTGTCTGTTAAAAACAGGCAAGAGATATCGACTACCTGCCAGGAAAAAAGAAATGGCAACGCTAGGTAGGGTGGTCTCCAGGACGGGACTGCCGTTCTTGTCTAGGTTCCATTTCTGTCTAAGTACCTTTTGCACAGTACACCACAGATACAAGTCATTGGCTGTCGACTTGGTCTTGAGTGAATAGGCACGAGCAGTTTGCTGCTTAACTCTAATTGCCTTTGTGACGGCCAGTAAAGCTAGTGGGTTTGTCAACGTTCAACAAGGAAGTATCATTACGAAACTGAAAACTTCCGTTTAGAGAAAACAGCCTGTTGCGCAGTGGAACTACCCGGGTTATAATGTGAACCATTGTGTGTTTCGAATGTCGGGATTGGTATCCAAAAATACGGCGTTTGCTTTAGAAACCCCACCATAATTTGCAATCGCTTGTCCAACGCAAACGTTCTGAGTTGGAAGAAGGATCGATTTGAACTTTTGCACTTCATTGATGTTTGCTTAATCTCTTGAAGTTTAAAGCGCCGGCAAGCACAGCTTGCAGCTCCTTTTGTCACATTTTATGTATGTATTTTTGGTTTTGTATAGCCTAAACAAACTCTAATAAACTCTTATCGGCCAACCACAATCTGAGTAATTATTTGGGGTGACCAGTTCAGCCTTGATCTGATCTGAATTAGATTTGACCATCCTGTCAGAATCATGTGGATCAGACTGTTAAGTATATTGAAGGCTGATTACCAGTGCGTAGCCGAATCTGAAGAACTGTGCTGAGTCTGACACTTCGGAATATGGCTTAATTCGGGTGTGGTTCTTCTAGAGTTGAGTTCTCGGGTATGCACAAGTTTTAGATATTCTCAACATCAGTGTGTTCATTTACGGTGTCGCACTGCAACCGATAGAGCTAACACAAGTCAGAGATATATATCAAAATCAGGTGAGTTAGCGAAATTTTTGGTGTTTGTAGGGGGACGATGTGAGATTACAGGAGAGTTTGATCATCACAATTAACGTTCCATGAGACACAGGTCGATTTCAGATACACTGTATCTAAAAATCTTGTGATACCCATAAAATAGGGAATGTGACTGTTCTTCAGTATTTTTTTAAAACAAGTGAGCCTGTAGAAACCAGCAGTGGAAGGTCTTGTGGAGTAAAAGGAAACTATTTTAATAAAGTAGTCAGGAATTTCCGAAATCTCCTCAGCATGTCATCCGCAAACGCCAAATTTCGAAATATGTGAAGTAAAACCAACCTCGAAGCTTAACGGTCAATCGAGCCTTTCTTTCCATTCCGAAGGATCGACACAGGTATTCACCCTCGTGGTATTTTTGCACATTTTTGATGGTCAAAAAGGATGTTGATGGTGTGGTGGCAGGCCGTCCAATAGACACACCTTGGGGGAGATGATGTTCAATAGAGTCTGCACTAGGGAGGAAATACCAACTTATAAAGTTGTTTCCATCTTCCCGACCCTTTAAACGGCAGCGAAATTCCGTATCCTCATCGGAGTTTGCCCATCGTGTGTCCGAGTCTGGTTGCAGTTCCAGGTCCAACTCCACTGTAGACAGACATGAGAGAAACAAGATGTTTTGATCGAACAAACAGTTTTTTTTTCTTCGGATATACTACGTTAACATGAAACTGAAATAGGTCCTATCCCAGAAGTAGCACACTCCACAAAAGTCGCTGAAAATTCTTCGATAGTCCGCGACCGGTTTTGCTCTCCGTGTGGCCCATCAGTTGCACACAAACTCCGAGTTTTCCCAAACCTCATGTCCTACTCGAACTCAGATTAGACGCAGCTCGCGAACTACACTTATTTGCGAAAAGAACATTTCAGTTACTATTGTGTTCCGTCTAGACAGCGTATTGCGATATGTCGAATACCATCCCAACTAAAATATGCGGCGGTCGTTGCGTAGCACATTTGGCTGAAGAATATCGTAAATGAGAGCTTCAGCCTGGATTCGTTTGAGTGCTCCGTTAAAACCAGCTCAGTTCCCAACGAGCACATTTCGAGGGTTGTCCTTTCATCCCCACACTCGTTCAGTGAACGAGATAAAAGCGGGCTCCTACTTCCCGAGATCTTGAGCCCTATGCACCCACAAATTAATTTTACTGGTTCAGAATGATAAAAACAAGAGCTTTTTCAAGTAGGTGAACAGATTTTTGGATGTTGGGAGACTTCATGTATTTGTGTTGCACGTACTTTACATGTCTCAATGCATCTTTAAAAACTGATGCCGAGTACGTCCTGTTGGGATAAACAATTTTCAAGAGCTTTATGTAGTGTCTTTCTCAAAATGTCAGTGCACCGAATCTCTGCGTTTAACTTACTAGAAGGGCAATTGCCATAAAGTTCCTAGTTTACGTTTTCTGTCACATGTTCCATGCGGGATCTCAAAAACCAATGCCAACTGAATTTATCTTAATTTAGCCTACGGGAAGTCATACCAGTTGGTTCGCATTCGGCCAACACACATCACTTTGGATTGCATCAGCACACGAAATCGCAGATTATTTTATAAAGGAAACAAATCACTCGAATATTCTGGGGCGAGTGAGTGCTAAATAGTACCAGGTTTGCTCGACGGATCATTCATAAACATTTTTCAGGCTGCACTCTCGTGATACTGACTAATAATGCCTCATCCACACAAGTCTCCACCACTCGTCCCGTCCGGTCACGATTATTCCGTACAGTTCACAACAGAGATTGGACGCAATGAGTTCGAAAGGATTCGGTCACTTAAAAAATGGAGATTTTGTCCTTTAATTAAAATCAAGCTATTCTGAAAACCGAGGAGGATTGTACAGCTGTTTCCTCCTTATCGGAAATTATCGTCCATTATTGACTGGAGGATGAGAAGCGCCATATCCTGTATAAGAGAGAATCACCCACACTACTGATCAGCTGTTTGTGGCCAAACGGTTTGGTATTCAGTTATTACCGGAAAGTTTATGGGTTTGAGTCAGCCGGAGGTTTCTCCAGCCGCGGACTAGTGATGATTTTCAGCGAGAATAAAATGGCCGTTCTGTACTTCTTGGCAATTCAACATAGATCAGCCTCATCCACAGAACGAAATCTCTATTGGGAACTTGAGTTTGCTATCAGCTAAGTCTCACTAGCGGTCACTATCTTCTGCATTGTGGTTTCCGTTTCGAACAGCTGACCTGGTAAGTTTTACCGCCACTCCACTGGTTCATGCTGAGCGCCCCTCAATATTCAACAACACCAGTTCAATGCGCAAGTTTAAATCTTGAATTTCTGCCTAACTATAATATTTGCACAGTGACAAGAGAGAAACTGATCACACTACGGTGGTGTTGAAAAATAGAAATAAGCTCATCTGTATTTAGGCAAGTCTACTGATTGACACTTCAGAATCACTGGATGGTAGAATAGTTGATTCTTTTCATTATTCGACTGATACGTCTAATTTTTTATAAGTGTCTGGGTGACGTAGAGTAGAGGGCTTTCAATAAATTGAGCCAAAGCTGAAAAGTCCCCGTTAATTTTACGTCCAAAAGGTCAATGTGCACAGAGGCAGAAACTCGCGGAAGAAGGTATAAATACGGCTAACCGCGGTTTACTGTGACTGCGTCTGAGATACCGTATCTACCATTCTGTTTGCGGATTGGCATCGTTTTCACGAAGAGCTTAGTTATCTTATCCAGTGTTTTTTCGGGGATGTAGAAGGAATCCATTCGCGATAAACCGCTTCAGTTCCCGGGCATTTATGTATTTCATTCAAGTCGATTGTTCCACTTGGCTGGCTTAGAGATCTTAAATGTGCTTGGCAGTGCGAGAGCACATGTACGCAAGTGAACACATGAAGCCGTTGCAAGTACATTTTTGTTTGATGCCCCGGCAATCCATGAACAAGTTAGTATACTTAGTAAGCATAAAATATTTAAACTGTCTAGATCATCGAAAGTACTTCGGCGCTTGAGTATATTCAGGCAGTCTTCTGAATTTCAGAAAGGTTCCAAATTCCTGTACGTACCATCACTTCTGGAATTGCTCATTTCGAAGTGTGAACCGTGCGAGATTCATGCTTTCATTTTTTGAACCTTGTGTGAGCCGGAATTTCCTTCTTCCCACATTACCAGATTCACTGGGTAGGTGATGGTTATCTGAATAGTCAGGCCTCATGCCGGCCCAATGTCTAGTTCATAAAGTGCCATTAGTCTAACCTTGGGGTTGTAATCAAATGAGAATATTGGGCTTATTAGGTGATCTATAGGGTTTGAGCGGCGTTCCATTGTCTTGGTTGTTGAAATATCCGACATCACAATACACATCACATCACAGAACTATTCAGAATCCGAGCCCAGTGAAACACGGTTACAACGAGTGGACCACCATACTGTCGCCTGCTTTCATCATTAAAGGTGCTAAATACTCATTCGTAACGCACTACTCATAAGAACAAGTAAATGAATGAATAATATTAAATATACTATATATAATACATAATATTGAATAATTAGTTTGGTAAGTCCTTCAGCTCTGGCGGGTCTGTGAGCTCAGTGTGTTCTTGTGATTACTGACCATTCCATATGAGACATTCTGTGAACTTGGATGTACAGACGTCAATACCATTGGTATGGCCTTCGACACGACAAATAATAAACCACAGCCATGTGGACACTGTCCACTTATTTCGATTGTGTGATTGCTGATCTTAGTTGACAGATGCATACCAAATGAAGCGACAGATGTGGATCGTTACTAACCAAAACGATAGCACATTCTTGGGCGTCATTTAGTGATTCCCTCTAGGCCTAATCTACTCCCTAAAAGGCCAACTTCTCACCAAAAAATATACACCACACCGCATCGTATGCAGGCTAACGGAAACAGCGACTCATACAGTGCGGCTGAAGCTTCTGCACTATCAAGAAGTGGGAGAATGAATGTTTGAAAAGAACCAGTTATGCAGATGAACTTAATTACTTAAAAGTCCTTTAGTTATCAGATGTATGAGACATGAAAACTGGTCTCGAATAACTTGTTGTTTGCAGAAATGCTGTATTTGGATTAAATGTGTACAGCACATTCAGTTGTAGAATATCATAAACGAGAGATTCAGTTGAGTCTCTCGTGAAGACCAAATTGACTTACAAATGAGTGTATTTCTCGGAAAAGGTCCAATCTGGGTTTAAGTAGAACTCGGGGACGGCGCCTACCTGATGAACCCCAAGAAGGGCGAAACCGGTCATGGGCTGTCAAAGAGTTTTCAGCAACCTTGTCAGTAGTTTCCTTTATGGATTAAATATACATTTTTAACTAAATCTGATAAAAATCTTTCTTCTCATATCGTACCTGGTTTTTGCAGGAAAAGAACTTGCGCAATCTTTTGCTTTTGTCCACAACTGTACACGCCCTCATCTTCGGCAGTAAGATTTCGGATCACAATTAGACTCGTGTGCAGCCGGTCAGTACGTTCAACGTGTTCTGGGAGAGGTCCGTCATTAAGTGTCCACATCATCTGAAAAAGATAAATGGTGATTTTTTGGCGTAAACTCAAAGGAGCCTATGGTAGTGCTGTTTTATTGTGCCAATGATTTGACTTCATGCTTGACTCGTGAATGTCTAAAGCGGTACCAAGACAATATATCTATTAGCAGTAATTATTTGTGCTGTTCTTACAGCTCACTCGTTCCCATCATTACTTCTCAAATTAACTTACTTCAAAGTTTATCTTGTACATAAAGTAACTCCAAAACGACTTCCCGAAATCATCATAATTATTCGTTTCAGTGATTAAGTAATCTACTGACTAAGTACAGATTTTATTAACCCTCAAAAGCAACTAGTATTTTTCGAGCCACTAAGGATGGAGTCAACACAGTTTTATAGTAAGTCATAAACCCAGTTTACCACTACGTCCGATTTCAGCAAAAAAGCTGTAGGCACTTCTGCGAATGCTAGCTCAGTGGGAGGCACAAGTGCTTTTTTCCGTTTTCGTTTGCATCAGATAAAAAACTAGACAGAAACAGCTTTCAAAACGCACAAGACTTTTTTGGCTTCAGTGAAACAGTACACGTTTTTTCTAGTTTCCGGACTGTCCATTCCAATAATTACTGCAGTCTCTAAATAAATTGCCCAGTTCGACTGCTGATGAGAAATACAACTTTCTTTAATGGCAATCCATGGAGTATGTTGGTACGTATCATGTGTTTATCAGGTACTTGTAAATTCATTTAAATAGTTTCACTATAAAACCATTGACAGGCATTTATACTTCCAACAGAGGAATTGCTTTTTGGCGTCCCAAAGTTCGGCTCCCATGGTGCACTTAAATGCTGAATGTTTTTTCCATGTAAATAATAGCGTAATTTCCTCATGGTGTTCAACCGTTTGCCTCTTGTGAAACTCGGGGATTTTAGTGATTACTGGCGGCGAAACTCAGTCAGTTAGAATCCCTTCTTATTTGATGGTCACAGCAACCAACCAACGCTTTCGATAACAGAAGCCAACAGTACAATGCTTTTTCATCAGTTGGAGTAAAACAATTTATATTGAGTACGGGATACTACAAAATTTTAATTTTTAATAATTTTCAAATTGGATATATTGAGAAGCGGCATATTCATGAGGTTTTCATTATTTGTCCGAACGATTTTCTGGAGTAGAACTCCGGGGAGTTGATCTTTGACAGACTTGTGTACACTCACAGATGCCCAATAAATGGCTTTCTAGTTTTCGTTAAAACAGAAGCATGTTTGTTAGTTTTGTTTGACCAAAGCGAATGGTTTTATGATAATCGGTGTGATCTGATCCTGTCAGAGTACGTTCAACTCATGTATCTCAAAAGCGTAGTCCTAACACTTTTACTTGTGCGCAATTGATGCATATATATATATATATATCATACATATCATATCTATGTATACTGTAATACACATATACTATGTGTATACTAATGTATGCGCCAATCTAAGAAAAGTACATTGAGTAGATCTTTCTTACTGAATCTTTCAGATAGCTGTAGCAATATAATAACAGGTATGTTTGACTGACAATCAGAAGTATGAATGGCGGAATATCTCCAGCCTAGCAAACTTTTTTCGTTGGACCTGCCTTTTAAGATGCTGTTGCATTTCGTAAGTCTGATGTAATTGCCTCGGTAATGAAAAAACAGTGTTCGCCTAAATACAACACCAAAATATATCGTAAGTGGACTGTACTCTCCCAAACTGTAACCTGTATGGAAAGTGGGCAAGAGTTTCAAAATATCTGAAGCATCCAGTAACGTCAAAACTAAAAAAAACTGAGAAACACATAGGGGGACGTCAGGCTCTGAAAGTTGAATATGCCAGAGTAAAACAAAATCCAGCTGGCCTTTGGGTGCAGTGAACTCCTAGACAGATGAGATAGTGACCTAGCTCCGGATCACCGCGCCTTTCAACACTAGAACGGGCTGTATTTTTGACAGTTAGTTGAACTTCACCCCAAACAAACAGTCGCAGCAAAAAGTCCATTGCTAACGTCTACACAAAAGGCTGAAACCACTAGAGTAACCAGTACTTCTGAGAAAACGCAGTTCCGCTGACATTCAGCGAGCATGCTGAATGGTGTATATAGTGACAATTGTAGTTATCGTGATTTCTCACAACCAGTGAATTAAAAGTGTACCTCAGTTATTTGTCCCTTACCTCCTGTGTGTTTTCCGAGTACTCCTTATCAAGATCGCAAACGATTTGGGCCGCGTCCCCAGCTTCAAAACTGAATATTCTCTGACTACCCCGCTGCATATCTACGGAGGAAAGAAACAAGTGATTGCATACGCGACAAGGAGACATATGATATAATATCTACGCTCTTGAACAGAAAACGACTGCAAAGACCCGGCAGTCACTGATTCCGAACGCAAATTCCTAAATACGTACGTAAACTTTTGAAAGGTGAACTCTTCACATCGCGCTCTCTTTGATGCAGTCGACAATTTTTGCGGAATCACTGAAATCGACCTGAGGTACTGAGAAAGTTGAATGAGTGTTTAATGTCTATCTTGCCGGAGCAAAAACCGTGTGCTCTGCTTTAAATGCGTTCATGGATCTGATGGTATCAGAGGCTAAAGAAATTCATGTCTTCCAAACTATAAAACGCCAAAGACCAAGCGTCATCTCTGCCACCACGCGTTGGATAAGCCATAAAAAAGAATAAGAAGTTACTATTTTCAGCTATGGAAACGCTTAAGAAAACTAGGTCAAATACATAACCCTCTTGAGTATCCTATGAGTGGACCAACAATGCGTCCAAAATATGTCAGGACAAACGGGTTTCTATGACTCCTTAACCTAAAACAGTATTTCTGACATCAGAGATTGGTTACTTAGAGATTTATCTTGAAGAGATCCGTTCTAATACCCAGGAAATTGGTACCATCATTTCGTCATCACTTATATGATTTGAAGAACCGAAAAGCATTCCGGCTAATTGTGCGCAACCAAACTGAATACCCAAATATAAAAAGGGACAATATATTGAAACTCAGAAACTAATTGCTAAAAGCGCTTAAGAATGCAGGCGATGTCCGCCAGACCAGTCTGCCCCTCAGAGTTACTGTTTATTTTGAACAGCACCTGCGATAAAAAGCAACAGGTTTGTTCATGCGTGTTTGAAATAGAAGTCACTGGAATTTGTGAGGAGCGCAAGTGCCAAATTATCGTATCGTACAATGAGTCAACTGTTTGGATGACTTGCCAAACGTCATCAATCCTACTTTTTCAGCTGAACTACGATCCACTCATCACTCTTTTCCCCCTGTCTGTTCACCAGTGGATTGCTTGAATCATTCAACTAGAGATTTTTCAGTTTGGTTTTTGAGCGAGAAAGCTGAGCATTTCCGGCATTCGGGAGCCTTTATTCTACACAGAATATTTATCCGTTGGTATTCCTTTGATCAAACAGTTAACTTTGTGTGCGATCATTTGACTGAAGCAACACTGACTGAGCAATCAGGAGTCTCCTGCTCTTCAGTGGGATTTGTCCCGTTTGAAAGTGTAACATAAATGTTGAATGCTTCTTGCATAGGAGGCAGTATATGGAGTGGATTTTTGTGGGAGGTTGAGAAAATGTTCTACATTAGGTTGATAATGCCTAATACTGCAGGCGAGGTCACTACTAGTAAAGCAACCTAGAAATTTGGGGAGTCAGTCATTACGTGACCACGTGATGTAAACTTTGTGGATATAGGATGAATCACACTATATTCTAAATGAGAGTTAAACACATTGCCATTCAACCGTCCATGACCTAGCGGTTTGGCGTTCAGCTATTAACTGGGTCCCTGGGACAGGTCACTGTGGTGGTTCTTGGGATGCACACTGCTCATATCTCCCAATGAAAAAACATGTAAAGTGTTTCCTGATTTTTCTGAATAGATTAGCTTCACGTACAAGAAAAAACTTCTACCAATGTGTAACTGAACTCAACAGTTTACCATTCTCGGACATTATTTTGTTTTTCTAGCTTCCACCGGAAGGAACATCTCGATCAGTAACGATAAGCCTACAAGGGACAAAAGTTTTAATTAAAGGTGAATGTCTGCGTGAGGTGCTATTTTGGTTGCGTTCTTAGTACTGCTACATCGTGCTGTGTGCAGTTCACGATTTCTGAGGTAGCTCCACATGTATTATGCTAAACTTCTGATAATTTATCATAAATTGAGCTTCATCTCACGAGAACGAACGTGACAGTCCTCGGGAAAGTTTCCACAGTACTATGATTTATCACATATGTTAGTTCGTACGTGCTTCTAATTTTTTTTCGCACTAGAATGACGACTCACAATACCCAGAGAACTAGTTGAGCTGGTATAGTTAAGAGACTGACTGATCCCTCGTTATTCGGTAGTCTGCAGATTGCGCCAACACTAATACAGTTTATGGCAAGCGATATAATATTTTCGTGGACACCGAAGGACTTAGCCGCTTCAAGTTGTCATAATACTTCGAATGTTTTCATCGTTCATAAGTAGGTGCAATATAGTTAATGTTCCTAGAGTTTACAACACCATAGCTAACTTAATTTTGAAACGAATTTGCCGTCCAGAAGGACAAAGCAAGAAGGAACAAAGACGGCTGTTTAGATTTTTCATCAGTATCCATTGTAACAAGGTCTATAGGAAAGCTTGGGCGACTCCAGTATTTGCGATTGGGAAGGATACAAACTTTTGTAGAAAACCAAATAAACGCAGGTGTAAACGGACAAACACAATTGATTTCCTGAAGAATGCAACGCCGTGTCATACTGAGAATTACTGGGTTGCAGGCTAAACGCTAAACCCAGCTTGATCTTTTACTTATAGGTCTTACGTATGCAATCCCGAAAGTCAACTATTTGGCGCATATCAATTTATATGATTCGAATAAACGATCGAAACTTGGGTGTAGTGCAGTGCGGCTGATAACACCCTCTTACGAATATGTACTAGGTTGTTCAAACTTCTGTGTATACTCTATTTTCAGGCCACGATAACGGTCGTCCAGACCTTTTCGAAAAACTATGAACGTGACGACGGCATTTCGGCAACATGTTTATGGTTGGCTACGCCCTAGGACTATAAACAGATGTGAGAAAAAACCTTCATTCGTACCGAATCAAAAAGGCTCGAGAACGGTGCAGTTTCTCGGCTAGTGGATAATAGTTCGACTGTGCAGGTGCAAATACATCCACACATTGAGATTTAAAGGGGTGTTTTAGAACCTGATGCAGTAATTCACTGCGGAGAGTTTATGACATCCCCTGAGGTTGGTCTCTCCGGGGATGTGTTCTCCAGCATCGTTCTGGCGAGCGATGAAAAAACAGCATGGACGATTGTGATTGCTCTTATAAATGGGTTTCGTAAACTACATATCAAATGATATCCTTGATATAGATATGCAGCAGCTAATGCTGAATATCCCAAAGCCTGAACATGTTATTCAATGTCGCCTCAGATAAAAATGCTAGAGACACTAAGCGGTATGACATTCGAACATTTCGCCTAATGAAGTATCTTCATTGAAGTATATATCCCTCGCCAACAAGTGACTTACAACCAAAGACTGATGCCAGAAAGTGCCGAGCGCATTTAAAAAAATTGAAAAAAATCGTCCAGCTGTGCCTAGCTGTCATGCTACCCAGTGGAAGCACGAAGGCTAAGATACTGCTAGGTTGTCCAAGCCCAGACAAGGAAGTCGAGAGGGAGAGGTCGGGTTTGAACCACGGACCTTCCGGTCAGTAAATTCGCACTCTAAGCACTGAGCCATCTTGCCACAATATCTGGCATAATCATCCGGAAATGACTTTATATTTCCCTTTTACTCAACTTCCATACTAGCATCGCTTAGTTTGAACGTCACCTTGTCAGTAGTCCACTGAATGAGCTTTATTTATCACTTCAAGTATTTTTCACTAACCGGAGAGAAAAACCCTCTACCCTGACTTGAAAAACTGCGCACCTGTATTATATATATATATCCTTTTGAACATTATCCTTGAAACATAGCAGAGATATCCGGCTACAGGCTGGCAATAACGGAATGACCAGGCGAGCACATGGTAACGAATCGTTATCAGTGAAGCATCGAAATTAAGTGTGTTCTATGGGGACGAACTTCACAATGTATGTCAAGTTAATCGCGTTGATAGCGACCTGCTCTTATATTGTATGTAAGGACAGATCGTTATAATGCTTTCTGAACGTGTATGCATCTCATTCTTTCCGGATTTTCCCTACTAAGATAAGGCTCTCTGCTCTATGTCCTCCTCTCTCTTTCTTTCCACTCCTTACTAGTTGTTATGAGATTGCAAGGGGTAAGCGATTACCAATGATGTAATATGCTGGACGACAGTTTGCCTCCGCTACTAAGCAGAACCGTCCACAAGAGCAAATGTATGATGGCTGGTGATTTCTGGAGGAACAACTTGATTTGAGAGCTAAAAAAGTAGTATTGAGAAAGAAAGCTCCAAAGGAATGTTTGACTTTGCAATGTATAAATGTAACTCTGAGTGTAACACTGACAATCATCTAGTAGGAACAGTAGGACAGGGTTTTGGTCCAACAACCCATTCAGACCGTTGAGCAGTTCGTGAGATGCCAAAGTACTGATCCCTTTCCAAAGCTATATACATGAGATTGCCATCCATCTCTTGAAATCTGCCGACTTTTGAGTGGATATCTTGGAACGCGTAAGGTTCGTGGCCTTCAAGGATAGAGTCACTCATACCAGAAAAAATCGTAGGCTTCTCTCCTGGGGAGTTTCCCTTCAAGCGACAAAAACCTTTTGATGAATGCTTTTGGGTAAAATCAAGCTTGAAGGAAAACGGTTATTGTATTTGATGGGTTGCCATTCAACGGGTTAGGCTTGGGTCCCATTAAAGTTTTAAATGTTTTGTGTTTTATCTCCAGTGGGTAACATTCAGCAATAAAAAGCCTGTTGACCCTGACATACGTATTTTAGTAGTATGTTTGTGCTCTCATTAATTGTAATCCGACTTTCAGAGAGGACTATGAGATGGGGCATTTCTTGCTTGATCCGCATTTATATTTTCAAGGTATGGATATGCTATAAGAGTGATGGTAGACCACTGGAGTTCAACAAAAAAAAGGACAGGGCTATTGATGAATTGAATTAAAGTATCCTCATACTAAATGCATTTATTTTGTCAAACTGGTTACTTGGATCTTGTGCTGCAATGCGAAACTGTACCACACTCCAAAAACATCCACACTTGTGGACAACCTTTCTGTAACAATAAACATGCATCCATATGGCGCTTCTGAAATCGATGCGGATTAGTAAGCTGCTGGAGATTTTAGATGATTAAAACAATACCGTGAATAATTCGACACTGACAAACTTGCTGACACTTACCCACAGTTCCAATAGTTCTTACAGATGTGGGAGCAAGACTGATTTCAGCTGACCCAAATATTTCGCCTGTCTCTTCACTTTCAACTTGACAGATCAAAGTCCGTTTCGCGCTGAGTTCAGTTGAGGAATATTCCTCTAGTGTGGTCGTGATTTCCTCTCCCGTTTGTTCAGTATAGTCTATGTTGTTGCGCCACCGGTACATAACTGTTTGCCCTTCAGGTATCGGGCCAAGCCATTTACACCCCAACTTCACGTCCAGCGTTTCTTTCGAAGCCCGAGGAAATAGCTTGATAAGCGGGAGTTCTGGAAAATAAGGTGTTAATTACAAACCTTCGGCAAAAAAGAGTATAAGAATCAGTGTTGCGGATCACCAGAGGGCACCTAGATCCTAAACTCGCTGAGGTTAACATAAATGTAAACGTACGTTCTAAAGATTGTCCAACTAAGAGATATCAATGGATGTGTTCCTCTTCTCGTTTATGCAGTGGGAGTTGAAAGATCACAATCATCATCTACGTTGCTCCAACTAAACATGTACAACCCTCAACACGCGAAACATTACCCAAACTTTTCACTAGGATTTATTACACTTTAAATAATGGAATACATAATTCATACAATATGTACAAGCTAAGCCATTTTCTGATGCCTAATTTTTTGTGCTCCAAAGGGAGAAAGCACGAAAGCTGCAGCTATGCATTCCAAATCGCTCACCTAGAAACTCATTATTTGATAGAACTTAAAACCGTATAATTGCCTCACACTCAAACGGGATTCAACCCAGACTTCGAATCAGTCGTTTTTTGATTTGAATACTCCACCGTCTTCTAAGTTTTCGCTAACCAAAAGAGGCTGTGAGGTTGCAAAAGCAGATGCGGCTGAAAGTGGGATAGACAAAATCTACAGCGGTCCCATAGAGAAGAAAGGAAGATAGCCGCGATAAAAACGAACCTAAATGTGCCCGGCATCACAGAAAAGCTGAAAATTTCCGGAGTTCGCTTCTTTATCACCACCCGCATTAACGGACAAAACGGACGTTCTGCACTCACAACAAACTACTCCTTTATTTCCATATTATACTACAACCTCATGAGGACCATTGGCAACGTGCTTACTAAGACAACATAAAGAGCATTAAAGAACCACAATGTTTTTTATAAACACAGTGATTCCTTTTCGGGTAAAACCTCTTCTGAGTGACCAAAATTGCCAAGAAGAAAATTGTTACCTTGACCATGAATAAATCAGGAACACACTGAACATTATAGGGTCATTTACCCGATTGTTGTTTTTAACTGTTTGGCAAATTTATTATTTTTATCAGCGAACTGGTTACAAGCGTTCGGGGATGGCTTCGAAACTGTATCACGTAGGCGGCTAACGTGGCTTACCTGAATGAAAAGGGCTGACAAAATGGAGCAAGTTTAGGACTACGGTTTTTAATCGGAGATTTTATCCGCCTAGAGGACTTTTAGAATTATTTTGAATGCTTGTTTAACCACAAGAATATGGGGCATTTCAAAATTGTTGCTAAGTTTTAAGCTGCAGCATGTTGACAAGCTCCAGCTAGTAATACGTGTAAGCGTAGGGCGCGTCACATAATTGCTGCGGGTCACCAGGCAACCTTGTGTCCGCAGTTTGGGTACCAGCTGTTTAACCTTCAAGGCTACATGCCACCATTTAGGCATGCTGAAGGCCTTACCGCCGAAATTTCCTATTTACCTTTTGGTTTTATTCTTTTTGTTCTGCGCGGCTACAGGGCGTACAGATGGATGTACATGTGGCTCCGCGCAAAGCGTACTTGGCACTGTCTATCGTGGCCGGGCCCAGTCGGCGTAGCTCAATGTAACAAACAAATCAGCGCATTTCATGGTGCCAGAAGATGAGTTATTTTGTTACCTGGACGTTTTCAAACTCCAGTCGTACTGGACAAATCAATCCAGTTAATTATTTTCTCGAATTAATAGTTTAAATAACTTATAGTGCAAATTGCCTTAGCTTTGGGTTGCCACTTTGGATCGGATAGCGCTTCTAAGGAATTAGCCAGAATTGAGTAAATTCGCATCCTGAAAGCATGGTTAGCGCTTCATTGTCTGAGTAAATAGTTGGATTAATTAAGTCAGCCTGTCACAAAGCACTTATATTCAGAATAAGCACACGTGCATGCTGCACTGGAGACCCGATTTCATGCACGGAGCTCTTCCGCAGTGTAAATGAAAATACCGCCAACATATTCGTCTTGATGAAATGTGCTTTCACAATTCATTTGACTTATCAACAAATTTCTTCAGGAAAACTCAACGACCCGAAATACTGCACATTTCCTGTAGTTCCGCTCAAGCTGTTGACAGTAAGGGTCGAAATTCAGTCGAGTAAAGCCGTTAGTACGACGAAGAGACAGAACAATGTTGCCTCTACAAGGACGTTTAAGTTGCAAGTGACCTACGATTGCTGAGATAAAATGGCTCAAGTGAGGTCTCTTTGTACAACATTTTTGCCTAGGGAAAAATTTAGCAGTGCAAAAGGCGAATAGTAAACACATTCTGGAAATCGATCGAATTTCTGAAAAAAATTATTCAGCAACCGTGTTCACAATGTCCGGTGTAGTGTCGCATACACTGCCGCTCCACACCTGGCGACCACCAAATGAACGATTGTACATCATTTTTTATCAAACCTATTCAGATTCTGTTTTGTCACATCCTACCGCATCTTGTCCGGAAACCGGGATGCCGAACAAATGTGCAGTAAGATAACATTTGGTAGACTATATTGCCTCGAAGACGTCTGATTCCTCCGTTAGGAACGACCGGTAGCTGGCCCACAGATAGCTTTTGTACTTAGAAAATACATGTTTACCATACTTCCGTAAATGCGGTCCACCTACATAATTTTTTAAACAATTTCGGATCTTTTCCCTGTTAGACAGATTTTATGAGACGTATAGATAATATTTTCACTACGGTTCGACAATAAACCTAAGTTTACAACAGAAATCTAAAGATGACTCGGTGTGAGTTTCGGATGTCCCGTGAGGGGCTTATCTATGGCACAAATTCCGGCACACTGCACAGCATTCAGGGTATCTTGACTTTACATCCAGTCATCTTAAGATTCCATGGTATGGCATCTAAGAATTTTGTCAAATCTTCTCGTAAAAATACTTGAACTCTGAAGCACAGAAAGTATACAGGAATATATTTGAAAGCAAGTGGTCATTTTTCTTTGGTTTTATGTCTAATCAAAGTCAATCCTACTGCCTTTTACAATTTGGCAGGAAATTTTGGTGAAATGGTTTTACGCCAACAAGTCATGCCTTGAGGACCACTCCAAATTACTTTGGGTATCATAAAGAGATGGGAGTAATTTGCTTGCGAGTGGTTACAAAAGTGGAAAGGTTTTTGGATTCCCCTGTGCGAGGGACTTTTTTTAGACGGACTGTGCACTCTTTCATGAATGATGGAGAACGCGAACATGGGCCCCGAAATAAATCGATTTCTCTTGAAGGGTGGTAATATTCGAGGGTGGTTGCATCCGTAAACTAGTGCGTCGTCCATAGGTGAACAGACCCACTCCAATCCGAACAGTGATTCTAATCACATCAGTTCATTTGAAACGAAAAACCTAATGTCGAAAAAAATCGATAAGTGTGAACGTCTATGTCTCACGCACTCGTAGTTTCAGAGCTACGCCGGGAACCATCCACTCAGCTGTATCCACGATGTTTCTCTTTAGAGGGAATTGTTATGTAGACCCAAAAATAAATGTATCGTGTTGTGGATTTATTGAAACCCAGGTTGTTGCAAAAATGTCTGAATGGCCCTGCAAACCTCTTTTCTGTATGATTTTTTCTAGATATTTCTAATCAGAGAGCTTCATTAGTGCGAGATACTCCTCACCACCGGATACTTGACTTATTAGGCAATGGATGTTTCTGCTTAGTGACTGTACGCGTTATATCCTTCGGAGCTTCTGATACTCGTTGCAATTCCTTATATCTGTTCCTACCCTCGTAACCCCCTGCGGTTTGATTGTCTTACTGTGTTGGCGTGTTTTGGAATCGTGTTGTGGATTTATTGAAACCCAGGTTGTTGCAAAAATGTCTGAATGGCCCTGCAAACCTCTTTTCTGTATGATTTTTTCTAGATATTTCTAATCAGAGAGCTTCATTAGTGCGAGATACTCCTCACCACCGGATACTTGACTTATTAGGCAATGGATGTTTCTGCTTAGTGACTGTACGCGTTATATCCTTCGGAGCTTCTGATACTCGTTGCAATTCCTTATATCTGTTCCTACCCTCGTAACCCCCTGCGGTTTGATTGTCTTACTGTGTTGGCAGTGTTTTGGAATGTAGGTAGCTCGGGTGCGCTGCTTACTCTGTTTCTGTCGGGCCCCTTCGGCAGTCAGTATGAGTATGTGAGAACGTGGCTAAGAGTTTTTGTTTTGTTGTTTGGCGGACCGGTTTCATTATTCGCTGGTAACTTATGCCCTGCGTCATGCCATTTTTCTTTGGGTAATTTCTAAATAGTGCTTTAGGGTAAACTCAGTAAACTCAAGGCATCACGGGTGCTCTACGATTCTTACCATGTAGCTATGGTGTTTAATCCTTAAAACTTTATGTATAACATAATCAACTTTTCCTAATCACGTTTATAACATGATTTACAATTATCCTACTATTTCTAGAAGTCGTCTGCTTATATTCTGTTCAGCCCAGATGGATTAGCAAGGACGTGAGGTGGGCACCGAGTAATTTGCTCACTAGTTACCCATAACTTGCCCGCCTAATGTGCGAATTGCCTTAAACATCAGCAGCCAAATACGTTACTTACGAACGGCGTTTTGTCTCGGGCGCCGTACTCTGGTTTTGGTCGAGTCGGACAGACGTTTCTCTCGTTCGAATAAATTGTAATGGCACCACATGTCCACATTTTCCTTTGGTTCCGACATCCGTTTGATCACGATTGCGGACTGAAAGAAGTTGAGGAGTACGGTTCCGAGAGGCTGTTCCCATGTGACCGGCCTAAGTTCATTTGGCACATCAGCGCAATAATAGCGCCTGAATCCGGAGAAAGTGGTGGATACCAACGGACGTTTGAAGACTAGTTAAGGGAGCAAATCAGGGTGTGAAAGAGACTAATATAAGAGCGCCGATCAACCGGCGGTAAAAGCATAACATCGTTAAGTGAAGAAACCGAATAGTCTAACTGTAACAAACTAGTCAGAACATACGTTTGATAGCAATTTTAGGCAAATTTATACCTCCATCCGAATTACCGAGAAGGGATGAATTGATTTTCAATGTTGTTTGGTTGGCAACACTTTGTGGGAAACTTTTCAGGACTGCACTAATACTTCTCCCCATTTTCGTCAAAATCCCAAACGACTTCACTAGCTTAGACATGAGAATTTGTTCAATAACCAAACGAACAAAATGGTTTGTTTTATTTGCTCAATGTTCCATATACTGCCGTGACCTATGAAAGGAAATCAAGGAAATCCTTCACCTACATGTTCTGAGCATGATCTCCTCGCTCCGTTCCAAGGTCGTTGCATTAAATTTTTTCAACAAGCACATGTTAATGGGTGAACATTGGTTCCGTCCTTTTCCGTTATGTTTTTATCCATTCTATCGTTATGTTAGGTAAATAAAATCCAACTTTTCGAGGCCACCAGTGACCATATGTTGGTAATTTGGGGAGTTAGCTGACAGTCAACTTGGAAATCCCCAAGCATATTCACCTAAACTCAGAATAATCACCATTGCATAAATATTGGGGGATTCCTCTTGTTAGGTTAAACCAACCTGTACTTGTGATCCAAAAATCAAATGATAGTTTTTTAATCCTGGCTAGGTACCATTAATCGTACGTAGCCCAGTAATCCCAAAAGAGAGTTGAACCGGAAGCATCTTGAATATTTGTCATTCGTCCACGAATGACTGATCAGCAGTGTGATCACCTTGAACTGAAATGGGCTACAAAATCACCTTACTCCTTAACCGCTCAGCCCACATGACATTATCTTCGACTGTCTGACATCGCATCTGATTAAAGTTCAGATGATTTGTGGGGTGCTTGCCCTCCATGGAAAATTCTTTTTGTTGATAGGTGGGAGACATTGAGAGCTCCATTTCTGTATTCTGTCAGTCAGTCAGTGAATGTGACGGCACAAATAATTGGACACTAGACTTACCTATAGTGTGACCTTCAGCCTTGACATGAAGCAGCTTCACCGGTTTCGATAGCACATTTTCAGTGTTCTGCCCAGCAGGAGCACAGTAGTATGCTCCGAGGTCATCCTCCTCGAGTCTATCAATCCGAAGTGTTGGTCCGTTCGCACCAACAATCCGATACCCGGGTAGTCTGTACCAAACGAATGAACTGTGTGATACACTGCTCAACGGACAACTGAGTTCAAGTGGCTGACCGAAATCCCCATAAACTTGACTGATCTGACTCGGTTCATAGATGAAATTCCTGAAACCTGCTAAGAGATTGAAAGAGCTTTTTAGATTTCATGAAGAAATGGGAAGTTGGATTGTATGCAAGTGCTTGACCCAAGTTACGAAGCAAACATACGACTTCGGCTGCTTTAAAGAAAAAGATTGAGTTTGTTTTCAGGAGGAAACCAAAGTTTATTCTCGTTGCGCATCAACGGAGAAATAATCCAACGTTGTTTCATTTGAGAATGCCAACATTGGTGGCACCCTTTCGGTGCCTAGCTGCCATGTCACCAGAATGAGACGTAAGGGCTGGAATACTGCTATGTTGCCCAAGCCCAGACAGGGGAATTCGAGGGGAATAGGTTGGGTTCAAACCACGGACCTTCTGGTCGGTGGATTCGTGCTCTAACCACTTAAGCCATTCCGCTCTTTAAGGTAGGTAAATGAAAAATGTTCCGTATTTGAATGTGTTCTTCGTAAGCCAAAGTGCATACTGACCATATTGTGCTTGGCTTAATTTGATGGTTTTGCCTGTTCAACCATGACAATTCAGTTGTGTCCAGAATGTACTGACCGCTTTCCAACAGCTGGTTCCGACACCAGTTTTGGGGACTGAAAAACTGGAAGACCGGCTAGGCTAATGTAGACCGTTGATCCTTCATTTACTCGCCAAAACCATTGGTTAATTTGTTCCACCAAACTATCCACTATGAATCCAATGGTTCAAAGTTAACAAAAGAAATTTCAGGAGTTGCAGAAAAGTATGTGGATAAAAATGTTCATATATTCGGCTTCATACTCCTAGGGTATTTACTGATTAAAACTGACGTAGATAAGGATGGTCATTACCACGTATTTTTAGCCAGGTACTACTTTCCATACCACTATCGCAGGATTCTTTGGTGCTTTACAAAGGGTGGGGCAGGTGAAGTTGGTCTACAGTAGCCAGAATATGACTACGCGACGGTGTCTGTTCAGAACACTTGTGTCAGGACTACCTCGGATTTAGACTGTTGTTCAGTTTCTCTAAGATTAGATAGTTTTAGTTGCTTCAGAAGATGGACCGAACATTTTTCGGCGAAGCAGTGTTTACTTGGATAGTGCTTCCAAACGGTTAGTACGAAACGAAAATTAGTAAAGATAGTGTTGATCGGATTCTGCATCCAGCCAGTGGTAGATTTTCTCGGTTGAGTTTGTCCAGGCCAATGCATAAGTGCACGCCATCAAATGTGAACAGTGATGTCCCTTCAGGAACTAGAGAACCACGAATAGCATCTGCTGTCAGCCTTGGCCGGAACCTAGTTTATTACGATTTCGAACCAACCGTGCCAATGAATATAACGTCACCACAGTCATCCTGATTCTTGTTTCGAGTAATCCGCATGTAGAAACAAGTGCCAACTTCTACGCAACATGACGTGTGTCAGTTTGCCCGATCTGACATCTGCTGTTTGACTCGTGTTGTTAACTACTCGGTAAACATCAGACGTGAACATTCTTGTTGACTACAGATAGTAAGATCTGCTTGTGCCAATTACGAGGTGAAAATTTGCTTCACATAAATACACTGTAAGAACGTTTTAATCTTTGTTAGGCATTTTCTCGGCCAAATCCATTGTATGTATAATCGAATAGTAAACACCCGCAACGAAATTACATCAAGAAAGACGCAGCGCGAAAACGGGGTGACCGGAATCGGTCAGTGCTGAAAAGAATTAAATCAAACAAATACTTGAGTTGAATAGTTTCTCACACTGCTTGACAAACTTATATAGATTATTTTGGGGATTTCGCTCCGCATAATTTGCAGTTTTGTTTTTAAGATCAATTAATTCCTTGCTCGTCCTTCGCTCCCTCACCTTTTTTCAACCACACTCGGTATGCCATCTGGAGTGCTGTCAGCTTAACAACGGGTGTTCCATAAGCTGGGCAAGTATTTTTTCCGCCACAAAACTGAAATCAGTTGGAAAAACGTAGATTTGAGCCATCGAAGCAAAAGACATTCTGATGGTGTTCATATACATAATACATTGATGTATATGAATTCTGTTGCAAGCTCCAAATTTCTGCGGTGCTGTGAGATAACAAAAACAGGTAGAACTGTCAAGTATTTATAGATTTGCTTCTTCCTAATATGAGGTAAGCTTATTCGGGTACATTTTTCTCCAAAACCCAAATTGTTGTTGACTTTAGTTGCCCGCATTTAACTCACGTGCTTTCGAATCCGTGGCGTTATTGTCTAACACACGATATAACTCACGAACGATATTAAAGCATTGCAAGGAATCTTGATTGCTGGTGACACAGTTCTCTTATCCATAGACTGCTGTCTATGACACCAACCAGAAAGCATAGGGAATCCACCAGGAAACACTAACCCACCGCTACGCACCACTACCCTTCCTAACAACGCACAGCTGACGTCAGTTCGACTAGTGATGAAACGTTTGCAATCAAATTGCCCAGCTCAGCGAAGGAGACAACGACCATCTGCACTACCTGAGCTAGCAACATTTCCACCTATAGAATAGGAAATCCGTACTTTTAGGCATGGTCAGCTCACGAAAGAGAGGAAAATTTCTGGGAGAAAAAAGCCGCAATGCTACTGAAATCACCTCGACAGCTCATAACCGATGTTACTCTTCTTGGGGCTCAGCAGGTAGGCACTGTCCCTAAGTTTATGTCAACCATCATTAATGAAAGATCCAGAAAAAATCAGCTGAATCTCCCGTCTAAACGAAATGAGTATACAAATGAGAGTATTTAGAGAGGAAATTTTGATCCCAGTTCAAAGTGCATATTTCCGATATCGTAATGAACAATGAAAAGCTTGTATCAATTCCATTTCACAAAGACGGAGTTGACGCAAATCCTTGTTGGAGTACAGTGAAGTCATTTTTGTAGACATGGATGCTGTCACGTAGACGGCGATGATGCCCGCATTCGAAATTCAGGTGAAGTGCACAAATAAGTGCAGATATCTTCATGTAGGAAGATGAATCGTACTTGGTTTGTAAGATTTATTTTCTACCGGTAGCGTTTATTCCTAAAAGACCATTTTGATAACGCTGTAATTCCCCGAAAAACCCATTTCCGTCAGAGACCATACATCCGCGATCAACAGTTTACGAAACTTCCTCAAAAGCTTCCTTTCCCAGGGGTTCACATTGTAAAGATGATGGCCAGTTGACATGTATGTAAATAGTGGATGAGTACGGTGAACGAAGTCTGTAAACATATTTATGACGTCTGGGTTAAAGCTTTTTTGGTTATTCTTAGTAAACAGGCATACCTCTGATCTCAAGACATCAAAAACAGTACGGTGCACCGTATCACGATAATTCGGACCAATGCGGTCCTACAAGGAATTGGTACAAGGCAGTGCTGAAGCCTACCATGGCGTATATGCCAGTATTCAAGAACAAACTCCAAGTTAATCTCCAAGAGTTAATTGTGAATCCGCCCGCATGTCAGTCACAGGTAATAAAACTTTTTAGATTAATGAAACTAAAGCATTTCTATGTAATAGCTTGAAGGTTCTATCCAGGTTAGTCACTTTTCAGTGCTTCCGTCCTCGAAGGCGGAATCTACCCAATGATTGGTGTTCGTTAGCTAGGTATCAAAACTGCTGCAGTCAGGACAACCTCGGCACACAAGTGGACTACTAAGCTCTCAAATTTATCCAAAATTTGTTTTGACAACGATTCGCCTAATGTTTAACTTGTGATCATTCACTTGGTTTATGTTCACACAAACAGTTGATGCTTGTTGGCTGTGACTTGCAGTGATAAGATCGGTGAAAGTGGGTAGTACAGTCTACAATGCGATCAATATTGAGATGACAAGGTAATTTGTTGAACAAAATTGATACGATTGGTGCTTGGTCAACCTAAACATTCTACACGCTAGTATGCTACTCGATACAAAACCGCTGATCGGCACGCTATTGGCTGCGTAAACAAGATGATAAATTTCGCTAGCTTTTAATAAAAAGGACAATTAAGTAGTCTGTGGGAAATTGGATTACTTCTGGATAATCTTTTGCAAATATGAGGAGACGAATAGTTCTGGCACATCAGTATTCTGAGGTTACGATTCCAAGTTGTATTTTTTGAGACAAGAATAACTTGAACAACCTGACTCCCAAGAAATCCGTTTATCAATGTGTATAATGGGTTGTGTAACTTTTTTGGACGCAGCCACTCATCACGCGCTTCTGTTCAACATGAGAACTTGATTGAGAACTTCCTAAGCCGACAGACAGGAGACTTTAGACTTGGAAAAATTCCTGGGCCATATTTTTTATCCAACCTCATCTAGTGCATGTTAACAGGATTTGGGGCATTCATAACCCTACAATATTGATTGACATCATCCATGGATAACGGGAGATCTACAGCAGCATGAAAGAACGGACGAGCAGTGAGCGAAAAGGACCAGTTGTGGGTTGTAAACTGCAGTGTGATCGAAATAAGCAGGTCAGAATTTTTCGGACCAAACTACCATATCAGACAGTAGGTAAATAACATGTCTCATTGAAAGTCACACCCGTGCTATCCTTTTTTTGTCACTTTTTTGCGCGATCTGACATTCAGGTGACCAAATTTCATGGAGCTAGGCATTTCAGTAAGCTAATATAATTACAGCAAACCAAATGGTTTCACTACGAACTGACCTGCTGTGTTTCCTAAGCAAAAGTCCGTCCTTGACACAACCTGTGGAATTCCACTTATGTTCCGTTGCACTTCACAATATGTGGTTGAGTTTTCTGACCACGGTTGCAGTTTTAGCTGGGTCAATTCTGCTTTCGAGTTAACGGTGATAAGGACAGTTCGAAGCAGTCTTGGTGATTGTTCCCATTGGTTTTGTTGGTAGTATGAAACTGAATCACCCACCTCCACGTAGTTTGTTGGACAGGTGAGATGTACTGACTGAGCATTCACTTCTGGGTATGAGCAGTACTCGTATCTTCTAGGTAGGGAACAATGCCCGACAGCGATTACTGTAGTGCACAAGACCCATGCAGCTACTAAGACAGTTTTGGATTGTTCCAGTACTGCGTGCGAGCGTGGCATACTAGTGGAACACAATGACATGTTACTGTGTACACTGCGCCATGCGGTATGCTTTCCGATTGAGGTCACTTACCCGGCCGGTTATGCCGGTCTATTTATACGGCAACTTCACGTAACAACCTCGTCGTTGTTCACTGAATAGCGCCCAACTGCTATTGGTTTTTGTTCGATGGGGCCGGATCACTTCAGCTGTGCATTCGGCCGAGTGGGTAGTTGTGTATGTTCGTGCGTGTATGTGTTGGTTGGTTACGCCGAACGGGTTTCAAACATCCCGCATAAACAGCACAGCGCGTGACTATGTTTGCCTTGCAAAGTCGACTAACAATATTCAACCGAAGGCGAGGTTCGAAGACCGACAAATGTACTGTCGTTTTTACTGGGACGAGAAACATTCACTAGATCCGGAATTGGTTATTACCATCAAATGTGTGCTGGCAGTTGAAATGGAAGCTGCAGCTGTTCTAAACACATCAGTCAATGGGAAACTTGTTGACGCAACTTGCTGGCCTGGGAAATTTGATGTCTGGGCGTGGCAGTATGACATTTTTCTATTTCAGGGCCTTTATCTACAACAAAAAATATGAATTGTTTGGTAACGGACGTCAGGATATCCCCCAACTCCCCCGATTCAATACGTCACTGTAAAGTAGGGACTAGCAGCAGCAACGCCGTTAGATATTGTGCAATGATCTGGAGATCCCTGGCTTGCTTCATTCGTTCCAACTTGTAACACTTATCCATTCGCTCATTTATTACGACCTTGAATGATTAGTATAGTTTGAAAGTAGCTATATCGCTCACAATGTTGCTGGTCACCAACAGCATCGAACCACTGAATTGCAATTCGCAATCAAGTAAAAATCTTGCGAGATCTTATAGATTGTGCAAAATCCAGAATCCAATGTTTCTGTGAATATCCACTGTGCGTTTGCTTCGTTGTGCTGATAATTCTCTTTGAACTATTGTGCGATAATGATCGACGAAGTTTGGCTGCGCGCTACTAACCAAAACCACCTTGTAAGAAAGCCATTTGATTCCATTACAGACCATCGTTGGAGAAAGGCTTGATGTGACAACGTGGAATAAGTAAGAGTCAATTTGAATAGTGTGAGATCTCTGGTACCTTACTTGCTGGATCCACGTGATATTCTGCGCAGCAGGGATGGAAACACTACCGGATGCCAGCACCATACTATCTTTCTTTGGTCGGTAAGTGCTGTCTGTTATCGGGCGCTGAGCTTGCGTTGGGAGAGGTTCAACGCAGCCGATCCAACTGATGGTGCTGTACTCTGACAAGATACCAAGTTGTTTTTATTGCGTTGCCTTTGTAGGGTAAAGAAAGCCGGTTCGTGATTGTTCTCCGAAAAGATTTTGTCTTTTCACTGTAATAACGAGTTCGTTCCTCATGGTATATCAGTTAGGCTTAACTGTGTATTACTGGCGTAGTATTGTCGATGCTAATGCAGTTGGTGGGAAACATGCTACGCGAATTCTTCAGAGATAGGATGGAGAAATTGTGAGATCGGGATAAATCGATGCGCAATCAACCTTATTTTCTTGTAGATGCGCTTGCAACAGTTCAACGTCTATGCAACCCGAACCTTGCTAGTCTTGAAATTTTCACTCGTCTCACTAAGCACGGTAAGATGTATGGTAAATGGGTTGATCAACAGGGAAAACGAGATAGGTTTCCAAAGTGACTCTATATTCAACAAAGTGATCAGCATTAAGGAAACAACTGTCCCGCTTTATTTGTCGTATGGCGTAAGACAAACATCACGGAAACTGAACTAATCCGTTAACTATCCCGGCGATACATATGAGTCTCCTATAAGCGGACGCTATTCGACAAAGCCTTACTCGTCTCATGACTATCTTTCAAATGTTCAAAGGCACCACTATTGGCAACCCAACACATCTTCCACGTAAGTGGAAGATCTTAAACACTCCATGCCCGGAATTCCTATCCTTATCAAGAAGAACCCTGTCGCTCCTGATTCCTTGATCAATGGTTTGCTCCTGTAAAACGTAGGTTATTTTTTTGGTCAGTTTCCGCTGTTTTTGCAAGTTTCGGCTGCCGTGTTAGTTATTGATTATTAGTAACTACTAACTGTAAAAATTCACAAATTCGCAACTAATCTTTCCACGCTCCAAACAGCGCGCAGTGAACTTAATTTGCGTCATGGCATTAGTTGGTTTATCACAATTGGTTTAGTTTGGTTTCGACAGTCGGACGTGGGCGCTTGAAAGCATTCTTACCAGATTTTGCCAATTAACCCCCCCACACTGCGCACAAGCTCGACAGAAGGTTGGGGAAATGCACACGGACAGTCAGATATGGTGCGCACACGACCGGATTATCTGTGCGGTCTGCGGATGATTTGGCCTTCGTGACGAGAGTTCGCGTCAACTTGATCCACCTCGGATGAGTACCATTGCATGCAGACTTATCACTGCGCACAATTTTATAACAGTAACTTGCCAAATGGATGGATCGCTTACTTGTAAACCATCCTTCGACACATACACACAGGATATTCTCCACTCAAAAGCCCCAGTTCATTCATGTCCTCGTGGCAGAGTGCGAATTCTGTTCTCGCCTTGCATTTCGCTGTTTGTACTCTATTACCGGTCGAAACATTCAGTGGATGAAGTGGGGATGTACAGTGCCAGGGATACCCGAGACTGGTTTATTTCTATCTCAGAGTGGTTCATCTGACTGTACCCCCTACTGATTCAATATAACAAAGCAGTGCATATTAGTTCGTAAGATATCCGTTCGGTGGCGCGGCTCTTGTATCTCGCGTGGTGGATGATGATGCACATGATTAACAAAATACGGAACATAGCTGGTCTCGAAACGACTCATGATTGCACTTTGAGTACGGCGAATTTTGAACTGATTATCTAGTTACTTATCGACAAGGAATAAGTAGTGACTTTAGACAGTTATGAACCTCCTCCACACGACACGTTAAAAAACGCACTTGTTTTTTTAAACTCAAGTTTGATGATTTGATGGGAATGCGGACACCATAGTTTCAAACTCACCTCACCATTAACAGACAAATCGACAGTGTATAGGCGGATGACGACCTCATTCACTGACCAAAACGTAAACAATCATGAATCTTTTGCAAGGAAAAGTAGGTGTTACAGGATGCACTCCAGGTGACATGCAAGACTCGGTCAGAGATATTTCATCTGTCACACTGTAGACGGTCCGTTTATTGTCTTTGGCTCACTATTTCACGTGAAACACGTGTTCACTCCCTTGTATTTTGAATAGGAGATATGAGCATATGTGCAGCTGTGTAGTCCACGAACATCTCCTGGACATCTATATTCTCAAGACTCATCTGATAGTTGCTCGCGCAGTCATTGTTTGAGTGTATTTGGTATTTAGTATTTAGTGCATTTGGTCATTCCAACGCTAACCCGTGATCGATTGGCGCCTACACTAGTCCCAAGCAACAGTTTGACGGTGGACTTTTGAATGAATTCGGCTGACAAAAGACTCGCGACTTGTGCAACTGATAACGCGATTATTCCCGATCATTGCATGTCTCTAAATAGGATATAATCCTGGGAAACTCTACAGAGCGAAGTTCCTTCCAACTTAGCCGTCTGGTTTTACAAAACAGTTATAGAGACCCTAGTACACGAGTAGAATCAGTGGAAACTCAAACACGGGGATGCAGTTGCAATTTAGCTTTGAAATGTAGTATTAAAGTGTGTAAACTACGGTCATCCCGGGAATCGAGCGGAGAAGTATGTTGATAAGTGGTTGATTGGATTAGAGCAAGCATTGAAGTGAGAATAGACCAACCAAACGAGCTTTCTGATGGTATTCTTCACTGCAATCGCCTGTCACACGTGTTCAGCCTACCGTCAATCAGACTTCCTACCCTTTTCACGGACAGATAAATTGACGGAACGTCACGTAAGATATCGAAGTGAATTCGAAAAGGGTGTGTAAATTCACTCGTATTACGTGACATAATGGCTAGTTGCATGCTAGAACAGTAGGAAATAACTGCTAAAAAAGGCAGGAAAACTCTAGATAGGGCCGTGGACGACTGGTTTCACTGTTTTGCACGTATCTACTCAGGAGAGATTTGAGGCGTACTCTGGATTCGGTAGATTCAAAATGTAAGCTTAAACAAATACGGGTAAAAATGGCTTGATTCTATTTTACCGACTTCATCGGCCACCCGCGTTTTCAGCATCGTTCGACCCTCGTTTTGTCAGGTCAAAGAGTTGTCTAAAACGTCCTAGCTAAATTAGCTGATATGTTGCAAGCCACACGCAATTATTCAGAAGGCGGAGCATGATCACGATCACAAGTCGCGAGCAATTCATACATGGATGATATTGCTCCCATTAGCGAATGATTGTAGGTACTTTGGAAAGAAGCTTTGAGCATGACCACAGTGAGCTTGCTTCTTCCGGCGGTGTGATTCTGAATCGCCAAAGTCTCATAAAGCGCTACATAACTGCGTGCGCCTGGAAACGGTTTGAAACGCTTGTAACTCAGAAGTGAACATTTATCCGGCTTCACAAAACCGACAGTTAGTTTCGAATGGTCCGGCAATGTGCGGTAACAACGCAAGGAAAATCAAGCACAATTTTTCTTTAACTGAGTTGGGTTAACAGAACTCAGGTGAGCGACCAACACAGTCGACGGACCAGAATTTTGCTGGTGGTTCCCACAACGCACTGGACGAGACAGTCACATTTTTTGGACCCAGCTGCCCTAGTTTTGACCAGTAAACAACCAATTTGGCTGGAAGTTGGGACAGCTATACCATACTGGACGGCTACCAGTGCCCGGTGACAGACGTAAAACACGGTTTTCTACTAACATGTTATCAGAATTAGAGTTACGGACGAAGAATAAGGTTAGGCTAAAATGTCTATGTGCAATCCGGGATTTGTCTTAAACACCATTTGGACTTCAGACCAGTTTGTAGAACCGTTGGAGAGAGCTATTAGTGTGGGTCCGTTCTCACGCCTCATTTAATAAGCACCAGCCGGAATTTGGGGAGTCAG